AAAACACGCAGACACTACAGCATTGGACATATAGCCAACCAAAATTGGTTGATGTTCACTCGTCCAAGCTGTGCGTTGATGGCCAGCCAAATTCGTTCCTCCATCATTTCATGCGTCCCCACCCTCTTTGGGTCTCCCCACGAAATCCTGGTGTGGCTGGCGGCGCCAAAAGCTCCTAAGAAGCCCAAGAGAAGGAGATGATGATGGGAGACTGTGCTGTCCCTCTTCACAGAAGAAATTCTGCTTCCCAAAATGCGAGAATGAATGGCTCGTCCTGTCCTCAATGTGTTGTGTCTCCAAAGCGACTCACAAGAAAAGCTCGGTTGGGTCCGAGACACGAAGGTTCACTCGTTCGACGTCCGAATCGATCTGAGGGGTAGAGGAGATGGATGAGCGACCTCTGGCCTTTTTCGAGGCTCCCGGCTCCATCGGGTAGCCTGGCAGGCATGGAAGGGATATGCAGGTACAAGTCGGTATAAGCACTTTTTTCAAGTGCTGCACGTAAAAACTTATCGAACTCACAGTTCACCAACCATGATCTGGAGACTTGTCGTCCTCCATAGTCTTGAAATGCCCTCAAGATTCCTCCGTTTCAGGTCTCGCAACTACACAAGTTACCTCCCTCTTTGGCTTGCAACTCATCCACCCATCCACCCCACAGCTTCAATCCACAGCTGAATCGGACACCAAACACCGCGCACAGCCCGTGCCGCAGATGCCGCGCCTGTGAGGCCTCCGGTAGTGCACCTTCGTTTCGGGCCGTCGGCTTCGGCCTCGGAGCGCGGCCGTCGGGCGATCGTCGGACGGACGGATGCCCCGCTGGCAGAGCGCTGGCAGGCGGCCGATGAATGGTTTGTTGGGTCCGCCATTAGTAACAAGGGCATCGCTACGAACGGAACAAGAAGCTACGTTCGGGGCTCCTGGCCTTACTACTAGGAGCAAGAAGCTATTAGTAACAAGGGCTTCATGTTGGTTAGGTCCGCTCATGTTGGGTCCTAGCGCGATCATCGGTCCGTTTGGCACCGATGGTCTCTTCGCCGCTCCGTCACCGAGGCACCTGAGGTCGGCTTCAAGGTCACCTGAACGGAGGCTTCGACACGGAGGTGAGTGTGACCGAACGTGAGGCTTCAGATCTTCGTGAAGAGCATGAATTATCCTCCAAATCTTCCACATCATGAGTGCCTAGTCAGCTAGTCCCAACTGGCTCTGCTATATTCAAACACCGAGATAAATATAGATCCCCACCTCGACTCAATGCAACAGCAAGAACACTCTGAATGAAGGCCGCGCTCGCTGCGCTCGCCGCGGCGACGCCCTACCTTGAAGTGGCCCTCCGCGTTCCGATGGCCTCGAGAGGGAGGTCCGATGCCGAAGCAGACCAAGTCACCAAGATCCAGTTCCACCACTCAGAGAGACTCTGGACACCTGATCGAAGCTAAATCTCTGACCCTGGACACCTGAACCGGCCGACCCCACGTCGGCATCTATGGCAGAAGAGAACAAAACACACGGCCCGTCGGTAAAACCGGTACCAATCCAAAGGGGCCTGCAAGGTGGCGGCTCATCTTAAGCACCACCTGCACCCAGCCTGCCGTGGCCCAGAACACCCAGGTGAGGGTGGGTGGCTGTTGTTACAAAAGTGGCGGTCACGCAATGAGGCGGCGGTTGTGGAGAGGTTGGGCATCAAATTGGATGGTCCTTTTTTCTGGGAATTCTCGTACCAACTTCAACTCAACCATGAACAGGACTTCTGTCAGGCTCTTTCCCTTTGAACGGAGAGGCTGGAAGAGTATGCGGTGTTGTTCGAATCGTTGACACTGACACACACCGAAAACTTGTGTTGGGGTGTGCCATCATGATTGATTTGCCCTTTCTTTTTTTGTGCATGTCCAAGAACGAGTTTGATTGAAGAAATGCCTAAAGCCTTTACATCCTCAAACAACTGGAGTGTCGTTTCCACTCAGATGTCAGCTTCCAGGACAACACGGCCTCTGTGCTAGTTGCGATATCCTCCCCCACATTTGCATTGAAAAACTAGGACTTTATAATAGGCTGTAACCACCGCCGCTCATTCAGGTCAACCCGAAAGAATCGCCTTCCTCATTGCAGCTGAGGACGGCCAAACGCTCTTCGACCTGAGATCCGAACAAAAGAGCAGCTGAAATCACTTCAGGAGATGAAATCAGAACCTCCTAAAAGTTGATCACCAAAAGGAAGAAGTAAAGAAGTTGATAAAGAAGTTTTGATTGGGAAATCAAAAAGAAAAGTTGACGCCAGGCCAGGCAGTGCCAAAAAGTGTTCCTCTTGAAGGAAACGCACTGCCTGGCGTTTGATGATTGCTTCATCTTGTGTACTGTTTATGGCAGAATGTCCGGTTAAAAGCGGAAATCTGTTGGCCAGTCCAAGGGGATACTGTTGGCCAGTCCATCCTCCACCCCAGGAAGGTACTTCGCACACCCCCGACCCGCCACGTTCGGTCCCCCCACCGAGAGGGAGCTGAACCAGTCCAGGACCTCCAGCCGAGCAGTCCGGACATCCGTTGCGTCCCAACACGATCGGATCGCGTCCCAAAGTCAATGCCTCTTTGATTGAGGAAGGCTGGAAGACTTTGTTGATTCAGAAGGCGCCAGCGTTCGAGCACTCTGGAAGAAGCTACCTGTCAAGCATGGCAACCTGTAAAGGGCTAATCAAGGCTGGTTTATGCCGAGAAAAATGGCTCTCAAAGGCATTGTGCGCACAGGGGAAATCATATTGATGACTCGGTCCAGGGAAACATCCTACGTCGATATAGGAAAACGTTCGTTGATTTTCAGGAGCGAAAACCAAGTTCGGGGGAGCTCCAAAAAGGGTGATCCTTCCTCAAAGCAAGCCTCAAAGGAAGAACACACGGCCGAAAACATGGATCGATCGACACACTGCCTCCGTGCGTCGTCGACACTTGGAAAACTGTGCCGGCCTGCCATGAATCTCGGCAGGAATGTGGCAGGAATGTGGTTTGTGCCAGGTACCAAAACATGAAAGAAGTGAAACACGCCACAGCATCTCCAGGAAAAATAACTGTGGAGCTCTTTGGGGATTTGGGAGTCATGGAGTATACTGAAAAGGCTTGGCATCCAAATCATATCTCATCTACGTCCACTTCCTGCGAGGCCAAAAGGAAAAGAAATTGCCAAAAGCTGCGTCTTGGGGCCCAGTCCAAAGCCAGACTTTTGGAAGGGGTGTTGTGTTTGTGTGTGTTTGTTTGTTTGTTTGTTTGTTTGTTTTTTTTTTTGGTGTGTGTGTGTGTGTGTGTCACATCTGGAACATGGCAAAACCAGCTCTTTAGCAGGGAGAATGAGGCGTTTTTTTACTGCGGCGTGCCATATGAAACCCAAAGTCGTCATGTGAATGCCCAGCGCCCTGGGCACGCCGCAGTGGTTTCAACACTTTGTGGTCAGAAGTTTCAACATGTCACATCTGTGAAAAAACATACACTCACACAGAGTCGAGTTGTATCCCAAGTGCGGTGTATTCGAAATTCTACATGTATCATCATGTATCTACACGGTGCCCTGCTCCTGAATGGCCCCAGGCAAACGCTGCGCGGGCCTAAGTTGGCGGCTATAAAACAGCGCGTGATCCCCCAGCACGTTGAGCAACTGCCTGCCAGGCTTGAAGAGATTCAAAACAAGTCAAAACCTTGCAGGCACCACTGAAAGCCCTCGGTCCATTGGAGTTACTATTGCAGTTTGCCCCTTCTCTAATGGCTTATTGGGAGCCCGGTACACGAGCATCGGACTCGTGTACCGGTGTTAGTCCCCGTCGCCGACGCATTGGACTCGTCACAGTTCGCTCCCTCCAGTCTCGCCCACACCGCCGAGGTCTGCTTGACCTGAAGTTCGCTTCAGCTTTGAGCCGTTTCGCCAGCTGCAGTTGCGACTCACTGAGGTCCTCAGTCACGTCACGACGCATCGGAGAGGCGAGACTCCAACTGTTTACACAAAACAGTTCTTCGAAGAGCTCTTCTGAACGCCTTGGAGAGGAAAAAGGGAGCAGCCAGGCGCTGATTTGTGGCATCCTACATGAGTACCATGGAGCTTCAGTGTTTTTGGCGAAGTCACCCCACCCTTCCCGTTCCAGTCACGGTAAGTGTTTGTGCCTACTATTGAGAACTGAACGCTAAAGTGACATGAGATACAGTAGGTTATGTAACTTGGCCATGGCTGAAAAATAGGATGCCATCTAAACTGCCTGGAAAAGCCGGTGAAAATAAAAGGCAACGCTAACTCAACGAAAACCTGCAGGCCCTTGGGTCTTGCCTTTTGAGCCACACACATTTCACCAAAAAAACTGAACCGCGGTTCCAAAAGTTTCCAGACCCGAGCACCCGGCGGCTCGACCCAGCTTGAGTTGTCGAACGTGCGCTGTCCACCCAACTCAAACAACCATACTGTCCCCAGAGAGACCACATGGAAGTCTGAGAATTGATTCTTAGAAGACCATTGTCCTTTACAACCAAGTGGTTTGGGGTGGTTCCATGCTGGTGGGGAGTAACTTGGGATTTGTGGGCAACCACCGTGGCGTTCTTTCTATGTCCCAAACCATCGATCTCAGCTTCAGACATACTCGATAAGAAAGTCTTCGAAGTCCATGGCAAATCCATCTCTTGGATCGGATCATGGAACAGACTGCGCGGTGGGACATAGCAACTGCCGTCCTGGTGACCTGGTGGAATGCTCATGTGCTTTGGCAGAACCTCACTGAGAAATCGGATGCCCTCTTTGGATGACATGTTCATTCATTTTCTGTAAGGCTGCCCATCGTGTACAGCATGCACTGCGACAACTGCATGCTGCTGTTCGATTGGCCCTCTTGTATACCACTGTACCATGACTGCTTTGGCATTCAGAACATAAAATCTGCGGGCATTCAACTTCAACTTCGCTTTGAATGTGGAAAACCAGTACTTTGAGGAGCTGATTCGTTTTGCTCAGAGTAGAGATGAGTTGATCATCAAACCGGAACTGTTGAAACGATGAAGGGCTGCTTTGACAATCTTCTTTTCTCGTTTCCACTGCGATACACGACAGCTGCACGACTCCGCTTAACGGACAGCCACACTGCATGCCGAACAAAACACATGCCTGAAATCTGTGAAACAGGCCCGTTTTCACTGCATGACCAGTGAACACATTTCCTGCGGCTGCCCCTCTCAGCCATGATCATCTATGCACCACGAGTGAGGCATGACGTGGCAAAGGATTTGGGGCCACATTGCAGCAAACTTCGCCAGCTTTCGTGTAGAAGTCAGCAAAGTCCATCCTCAGTTTCTTCCATCCGATAATCATGACCATGCGCAAACGACCGATCAGGACACCACGGAGCCCGCGGGTAGTGTTACGAATACTGAGCTGTATAATGATCTATCACATTGTCTATATTCTATATGTCACTCATGCAGCGATGCATTTTCCAAGCGCCATTCCAAGCATCCAAAAAAGACCATCATCCTCAGATGTGAATTTCAATGCCTCTTTCACCTCTGGATGGGCTTCCCACTCTTCACTCTGGTCACTCCATGCGCCTTTCCATTCGGTATGCCCCCAAGGATTTCGCAATCCAACCAGTTTAAAGCCATTCACTTCAACGCAATGCACCAGGGTGTAACGATGATTTTCCACCAAGCCATTGCGCCCATCGAAGTTGCACGTCGAAATGCATGAGCCTGAAGAAGGGTTGGTAGCCATCTCCCATATCATTTGGGGAGTCTTATTGGACATCACCGACTCAAATGGCTGTTATAAATACTCATCAAACTTCTAGCAAAACCTGACAGAAACATCCATTTAATGATGGTATAGCCAGGTCGTAATTAGGTTGGGCTCCCATGGCCTTTGTCAAGCTCCACGAGTTTTTGCCACATCACCTGGCTGCGAACTGGCTGCGAACCGTGCGCACTGGGACCAAGCCGGTGAAGTGACATCAGAGTGGCGAGAATTGGTGGCAAAACTGGAAAACCATGGATACCTCAGCCCCGTTCGTAGCTTCTTGTTCCTAGTAAGGCCAGTTTCGCCCCGTTCGCTTCGCGTCCGATCGCTCCGTTCGCGGCGATGCCAGGAGCCCCGTTCGTAGCTTCTTGTTGGATACCTCACCAGGTTGAATACCTCAAATTTTAGAACCGATTTCTGGTTCCCTGACATCCATCCTTTCCAAGTCACCTCCTCCTGGATTCCTTTGATCTCCTCAAGCTGGGTCCGGTACTTGGAAAACGCATCGTTCCAATCCTTGTGGGGTCCCATCTGCCAGTGCCTGTAGCTCCAACCCGCAGAGATGCTCAACGTCAGACAGCGATGATAACCCTTCTGGTGGGTGCTGATCCAACCTTCTTCCGTGCCCGACTGGAGGCCGCTAGGCTGGGTGCCCGGAGCGAGCTTGTACTTCATCCTTTTGCCCTGTGACTCCATCTCATAGATCTGAGCCCCCGCAAGCAAGGTCCCTTTCTTCCTACGTGACAGACACTGATGCACAACAGCTCTTGCTTCATCTGGCGATATCCCCAACAGCATGTTGAAAACAAAGTGTTGCCGTTGCGGAACAACAGACACAATAAATTTAAACACATGTTTTGCACCTCACCCGGTATTTTCACCGGAACCCTCCGGAATCTCACCAGGTATCTGCACCAGAACCTTGCGGAACCTCGCCGTATCGCCGTATCTGCACCGCAACCTTCCGGAACCTTCCCAGAACCTCACCAGGTATCTGCTCGGGAACCCTCTGGAACCTCACCAAGTATCTACACCACAACCTTCCGAACCTTTTGCACCTCACCAGGCATTTGCTCCGGAACCTTCTGACCCTCCGAAACCTTGTCCAGAACCTGGTGTAGAAGCTGCACCGGATGGCACCAGAGCTAATCTGGGCTAAAGACCCCATAGCAAAGTTTTGCTGTTGGGGAAAATGCATTACCATCCTCAATATCCAGGTTTAACCTTACAACTATCCAAAGTTTTCAGCTTTCCTCCCCAGTCGAGCCAAGACTCTCACTGGTGGATTCAGGTCCAGCAGTCACCTCTCTGCTGATTTGCGTCACCCACAGGTTCTGTTCGGCCATGCTCCGCCTGAAGTGGTGATTAACAGTGCCTCCGGTGAGCATGAACACCACTTGATTTGCGCCGAGGTCGCCATTGGCTTTTCCAGACAAGCCCTGGTATGAGCCTTCCAACTTCGCAAAGGCCTTCTCAAGGATCATCGACCACAAAGCACGACCGCGACAGAAGTAGGGTATATCGTGATGGTGTGGACCTCGTTGCGAGGCCGTCGTTTCACGTGATCAGCACGCCTTCGTTCACAGGCCGCTGGTACGAAAACGTATCTGAGGTTTTCCCGGACTGCAATATATTGATAACCAATGAAAACCATGGTAAATTACAGCTGTAGCGTGCCGGACCGCAGAGAAACAAGTCAATCACTTAGCAGTGTGTCATAAAACATGTGGCTGTGGTTCACCCCGGCACCAAACGATTACTAAATTTGATGATTTCATCATCCCTAAAATGGTGCCAGATCGGTAACAGCCATGTCCTTTCCCAATGTTTCCCATGCCGGCTTGGATAAAATTGTATGACCCGCAGATTTGATCGTAACGTCCTAAGTCGGACTTAGTATGAATAAATAAACCCTCCAGTTTTGAGGGTACCGATCATGACGACTGATCCCTATTCCACCACGGTACTGCTTTCCTTGTGGCACGGCACCAAGTCGTCAACCTCATGAATCACCCAATCACGCTCCTTGATGTCGAACAATCGAATCTGATAGCGGCCGTCGGGAGGAACATCTTTGGATACAAAGATGTGATCTCTCAAATATGGCTGATACTCCGCCAACGCAGCCATTGTCCCAATCAACCAGCAATTTCCAAGGCCCCCCTTGATCAATGTCAAAGGGATCTTCTTCGTTGAAAAGCACCGGATTGTCACGAATTTCTGAGAGCCTAGTCCAAGTGGGTGAGCTCTTTTTTTCCCAGATTTCCAAGCCCACATTCTCCTTGGTGGGAGGGAAGTCAGGATCGACCCAAGGCTCCGTTCCAATCTCTCGGGGCGCAAGCCGCGTCTTTTTAGGTTCTGCTGTGAGGACCGAAACTCCATCTTTCCACAAGCACCTCAGGGTGCAGACATCAAAGATGTTGACATCGGTGCTGTGGTCAGTGTCCAAGACGGTTAGGAAACGAGATGACACGTCGGACGGGAAGAAGAACTGTTCAAGGGAAAGTGACAGAGTGCTACACGGCGAGACATGTGAGACGTGAAGACATAACCAGCTATGGCACAACATCGCACGTGTTGGAAGACATGTGCGACACACTCCGTCCCCAGAGCCGCGGCATGTGATGATCCAAGGCACAAATGTGGGGAGTAAGATCTCGTCGGATGTGACGTTGTGATCGCCTTTTGCCCAACGAGCTGCACTTCCTTACTTTGAAAGAAGAGCCAGCCATAGAAACCTTCTTGTCCATCAGTATAGATACAAATGCAGCCCGTCCCCTCGTCACTGGCATACATGTTTCGCCCACCCATCAGCTTCTCTTGCTTGTTCATTACACCTCGGGACGGGGACAAACCAATACGCTTCGACCGAGGCCTCCGTTCCTCCGTTCCTCCGTTCCCGTGAGCGCGTGGCGCGTTCCGCCGTTCCGGTGCTCGTTTACTCACAGTGGTCTGGGATAGTTGGATTGAGGTGGGAGGAGTGATAGCAGAAACAAAAGCTACAACCAACGCTGCACGGCAGCACCTGATAGTACTTGTATGGCCCGCACGGGGTGTTCTTCTCCCTTCTCTCTTCTCTCTTATCCCTTGTCATCTCTCTTCTCTTTTTTCTATCCTCTCCGGGATAGAAAAAGAGAAGAGAGATGACAAGGGATAAGAGGCCTCTCCCCTTTCCTTTCTCTCTTCTCGATTCTCTCTTCCCTCTTCCCTCTTCTCTCTTCTCTCTTCTCTCTTTATCCCTTCTCCTTCTCCCATCTCCCATTTCCCATTTCCCTTGTCCATTCTCATTTCTCCCGTTTCATCGCGAACCTTCCTTTGACCAATAATATTGTTGAAATGGTCCTGATAAAGCTAGCAGTACTGGTGATTAGGGACTTGCTATCTTGTAGGCGAGCACTAGATCACACAATGACTCCTTATAAATTCTATATATGTATATACAGTATACATATTGTTTTTATATATATATATACACACAAAACATCCAAGTGTATGTATCACTCCTCCGCCACCCTCCATCTATCTAACTAACACAGGGCTGGGCCAGGGATGAAAACGATTGGCCCAAGTCCAAGCAACTGTGAGGTTGCTACAAATTCCTTGGCGGGTGATGAACCTTACAAATATGATATGGCTTACCTCTTGGGGGATGGGGTTGGGGGATGGGTTTGGATCAAGTCATTCTGGTACCAATGACCCGCAGATTTGATCATTTTTAGGATCGGGAAACCATCCATTTGGGGATTGATAATCTTGATCCATAACAACATGCTAACATGGGCAGTGTGCTTCCCAGGAGTATCAATGCGGCTGCCATCTGTTGATGTTTTTGATGTGTTTTAAAGTTCTCTCTAGATTTCTTTTGGAAGAAACATGCGCAGGACATGACGAATGACCCCCTAAAGTCATGGGCCATGCCATATCTTTGGCGCCGCTGAGGTGCATTGTAGCGTTGGCGAGTCAAAGTAGAGACTTTCAGGCGCTTGCGCACGTTTTTCCTCTGGACTTGGCGGAGGCCCTTGAGTGCAGGTCATGTCAGATTCTTGGACAAACGTGCCGACGCCTTCCGCATCCTTCTGCCTTGGCACATGGTGTGCTGGCCTACAGTGATATGGTCATTGAAGCAAAAGGTGAGCGAAATGAGCCTTAAGTGATCATGGATGGTGGTTTCATAAAATGGGGGTACGCCTCCCAAAAACATCCCAAAACAACCATGTTTCCTTGATTTTTGGTATCCACTATTTGAAGCCCCCAAAAAGAAACGTTCGAAGTCCATTACCGCCTCGGCCAAACACAAAAAGAGACACAATAAAGAACGCCAACTGCCTGAGCATCACCAAGGGTCCAAACGGTCCACTGCGCTTCCGCCATGTGTGGAGCCCTTTTCGTTTCAAGCCGAGCACTGGATCTTTTGCCGGGCTTCGAATGAATCCTGGGGCGATCGGAACCCTGGGCCGAGTTGTGCCATATGTGTTTCTTAGCATGTTGAACGTAATCTTTCAACCACAGGATGATCCCAGTGCCCCTGGCCCACATAATCGTTCTCCCAACTGCCGAGGGTCTGCCAAGCACCAGCTCCAGTCTCCTCTTTGTAAAACAGCATCTGCTTGTTGTCGCCACAGTAGAAGACGGGGCGATGTCCATAGAACTGGTCCTGTTGTAGGTACTCGCCGTTGAGTTCTGACCTGGAACAGCCTGAGACTATAAAGCTGAAGTCGCCCCCCTGAGCGTACGGCGCCGCTTCGCACGGAGGATCATGAAAAGTGGTGAAAGCTGATGGCAAATGTGTTGCAAGTTGCGAAAATTAGGTCGTCAACATAAAGTTTAAAAACAAAAAAAAAAAAAAAACGGCATACGGGATACCCCCAATCCTCATCCCAATTTCATCAGAGCTTAGAACCTGTCATCGTACCACCATGATCCACCATGTCAAATCTCCCTTTGCAACTGAGTCGCACCATGACCTGATTGTCCGAAGCAAGCATCCATTTCACAAATTCTTCAAAGTACAGGACGCCATCTCCAGAGGTGTCTGCCAAAGCCAGGACGCGATTCACAGACTCATCATCCCAGGTTTCCTGATACGACTGGAATGATACAACTGGGTTTGGATCAAGTCATGAGAACCCAAACAACCAGTTCTACATCCTTTGGTTCGGGTACCAGGTTACCGTTATACCCCCGCAAGTCGCCATGGTCAATCCTAGGATTGGCATTCAGCTATTGGTGTCAATCATGTTGATCCAGCTCGCCAACGAAGCCCTGTACCCAGTTGTGAGGAAACTTCGATGACTTGGTCGAAGAAAGATGGTTTGGTGAGGTGTCACTGATCGTAGCGGTGTCCATGTCAGAATTTGTCAGGCCATTTCCGGCAAGATGACTGGAACAGATCCAAATGACTGGGCATAAGAATGTATACTTTGTAGGTATGTCACGTCAATGCTTGGGTACTACAATGGCATGGCGGAAAAAAGACATTAAAATATGGGCACCATGATTCGCTATGGTTTCCGTTGGTGTCTGAAACTAAGGACTTGGGATGGTTTGGGGTACCCACTATGAATGGAAACGAGTAACTTCTAGGTCAAATTGGGTCGAAATCTGTATGTTGAAAAGGACATGAAGCGATCGGTCGAAGGATCGGTCGCAAGTGGACGGATCGGTTTTTGCTGTGGTGGAAAGATGTCAGGCAAAATGCCCAACATAGGCTAACCGGCTCACCCTCCACGTACCACTCCAAAAACGGGTGAACTCTGAGACAAACTCTTGATGGGAACCGCTTTGAAAGAATTGATGTAGAAGGATGACCCGGCATGCTGCCAAAACTGTGTAAATAAAAATACCAGCAATTAATCCAACATAACCCCAGCATAGGCCAGTACACCTGGCACATCCTAGATGTAGCTTCGAAGTGCGTTCAACATTGTTCAATATAGGCAGGCTTGGAACCGCTTTGATTAGCAACAGAAAGCGGTGAAATGGGTGAAACCATGGCCAAAAACAGGAAGCTGCGCCCGACATAAGTCCAATGTAAGCTGGACTTATTCTCAAGATAGGCCAAACATGTGCTCGACATACAGTTTAAAACCTTCAACATGCCACTTAAAACCTGTGAGCGTAGGCCATATGTTGGTCAAAGCGCCGTTGAAACGATGTTAGTGGAAGGAAAAACGGCAGGATTCAAAAGTTGCATATGATTCAATGCAGATCTCCTTTGATTTTGATTCGTAACAAAAGGTCTCAACTCATATTTGCTCATTCCAACCCAGGAACCGTCACATGAACCGTTTGCAAACTCCGGTGCGGGCCGACCCGCGAAGCGGCGTAAACAAACCGTGCGAAATGGATGGAAACTTCCCGATCCAGTGAAAAACCTTGCAGAAAATGCACATTAGTCGGACTTGTTGAAAGCCAAACTGAGGCCCGAACAAAAGGGACCCAATGACTTGGGTTTATTATTTTCAATGGTTTTCGGATGTTTTCGGTACCAGGTCATGACTTGACCCCATTTGACATTGTCCAGCCAAGGATCTCCGTCCAATGACTTCAGAACAGCTCCAAGCTCCTTGCGGTCGATGACGCCGTTCCCGTCCTTGTCGAACTTTTTGAAGGCATCAATCACTGCCTGCCCGTGCGCCTCCATGGCGGCCCAGCCCCACGGCCGCCCGGCCCGGGCCAACCGCTGGGTGTCGCTGCTTGATCCAGGTCGGGCCACCGGCGAGGTGGGGCGTTCAAACCGTCGCTTCACCTGACGAACCCGTTCGCCTCATGGTGCATGGACGTGTTCTTCAAAGACTTGGAACTGAGAAGACTTGGAACTGTTCTTCATGGACGTGTTCTTCAAAGAGAGAACAAAGAAGAGAAAAAAGAACTATACTGTGACTGCAACATGCTTCAGGACCAGGCTGAGCAGCAAGTTCAGCGAGTGAACAATATAATTACATAGTAGTCAATGGGAACTGGGCACAGACTGGGCAGCAAACTCCTCATAGCCTGGTGCTTCACATGGTTAGGGCCTTTCATGGTTTTCGCTGTGTACATTGGGATGGTGACTTCTTGTTGTTGACGACTCTATGGTAGGCATGCAATGCCAAAATCATACAACTGCAGAGAACAAAAAAGGGGGGGAAAGGAAGAGCAGAACGCTCCATCCTTTAATTTA